TAATAATAATCACTTTTCAAAAACAAAAGATAAAGCAGAGAATCATTTTAGATTTTCAATGAAGGTGAACGACCATGGAAAGGGGATCCAGCAAAAAAGATTGCAACTATGATACGTCGTTGTCAAATGCCAAAATTTCCAGAGAAGGTTCCAAAAGAGATCAGCGATATTGCGGCACGAGTTTGGTAACTGATATAATCTAGATTCGAACAACTAAAATATAATTGGTGACTTGACTTACCAGTTCAGGGTACTAGATCCTCAGGCTCGACCTACAATGAGGGATTTGTATCTTGCACTAGTGAAAGTTTCAAATCTATATAAGCCACCTGCTGCTGAAAAATTTGCACTGAATAAATTGGAAGGAGTATCTCGGACGATTGCAGACTCTCATCATTCTTTAGTTAGCTTTAAATGCTTGTTTTTGCTAGCCTAATCTTGGTAAGATGCCGATCAACGCTGAGTGTTGAAGTGCTTATTTTCTTTCATTTATAGGAGAGTACCATCGGTGAAGATGATGAGTTTGTTGAAATGTGAGTGAAGCTTCATGAATTATCCCTTTTCAATGACTTAACGTAGTCATTACATGATGTTTAATTTAATAACCCTCTAGTATCTGTGTATGTATACCACCACACATTCCCAATCTTCACTTCCTTTGAGAGTATATAAGAGAAGAGCGACTATGAAGAAAAAAGAAGCCGAGATTGGCATATGTGCACATTGAGCTTGATCTCATAAATGTCGTTCATGAGGAAGAATGTGAAAAAAGCCCATTGAGCACTTTCATTAACGTATCTATATTATCACATTTTCTCAGGATCTTTTATATCTTAGAAAGTTTTTGAGAGAGAAGTTCATGTTTATAGCCAGGCATAAAAGAAAAATCCATATGCATAGTTCCACCACCAAGATGTAAAGCAATCGTTACTGTTTTCGTAATGGTCCGCTCTTTGCCAATATAAGCTTTATGAGAACAAGGTGGTATCTTACTGCTAACTTCTTTGAAAATAACTTTTACCGTTCATTTGGAGTGTTTTCTTTAGACCTTGCTCAAAATTAATTAGATCTCATAACTAATATTTGAACCAACATGGAATGTGGTCTGTTATGGGCTCTTGTACAGCCTGATACATGTATTTTCACCTTCCAGCCCCCTCACTCGAGCACGCCCTTCGTCTTTAGCCAATCCTCGGGCCCCCTACTCACTCTATAAAGAGCTAGGCGTCGATGAACGATTTACACAATCGCCACATGACATGTTGGCTCAAATAATAATTATGAGATATACTTAATTTTGGGAGTGATTTAATGAAGACGCTGGAAATAAACGGTATGAGATTTCAAAAAAAAAAAACCAGCCAAGTGCAATCGAGTGTTTAATATGGCCGTTCTTGCGATTTTCACTTGACGACAATTTTGTAAACCGTTCGTTGTCGCCTATTGTAAGTGGGGACTGAAGCACTCCGAGAGGATTAGCTAAAGACCAAAGGCCTGCTCGACTGACGAGGCTGAAAGGCCAAACACGTGTATCTGGCTGTACAGGAGCCCATAACAGGTCACATGACATGTTGGTTCAAATAACAATTATGGATTAACTTTTTATTGCTGTATGAGAACTGTCGACAATTACAGTACATCAGATCGTAGTGTAAAACGGAATATATGTTTTGAAGCCGTAATGTGATTCACGATGAGTTATGATTTCAGTGGTGATGATGACACACCAAGTCGATCGACGACATCGCCATCAAAGACCTTGAAGAAATAAAGAAGAGAACTGAGAAATCGATTGATTCTTAGATAATGAACATTTATTTTGTTACTACAAAGATAAACAAGCGATTAATTAATGTCTGATCACGTAATAAAATATTCAGATATTTCATGTAGCTCTGCAGAATGCATTGTCAAAATTGGAAAGCGGAGGTGAAATGCTTAGTTAAGATTAGTAAAACTAATTAATATCTTTAAGTTATATTCGCGAAATGAATTTTAAAACAAGAATCGATTGCATAAAGTGTAAGATTGAAGGTACTTTTTTTTATCTCCAATCTTTTGAGAACAAGGCGTTATTCGCTTTTTCGAGATTGTAGTAAGCATTTGATAGCTTTAATCTCAACAATTTCAAGACTGCTTTTATTATCGCAGAGAATTCCCTAGGCGCTGCAGCAATGAATCATGTTTTACACTCGACGCGTTTTCGCGCGAAATTTGTAATTGAAAACTTTTCTCCATTATGTAGAGATTTCAAGATTTTTGTGTTCTAATCGTAGAAGAATTTTCGCCATGGTTATGTAAACTTAGACTTTCTATTTTCAATTGATATTGCTGGATGAACCCGGTACTAAGACTAAACCTAATCAATCTTAGGTCTATGCACGAAAAACGTATGAACGTGTAGAGGAAATTTTGAAGTAGAAGTATCACAGCGATATGTTTTGTGTAGAGTTTTTTCAAAGCGGAGAAAAAAATTTAAAATCCAACAACAAAAATCGCACGCCACATGTGAGTCGCGCTGCGCGACAAATCAACCGCGCGATCAAGACACAGTCACTTACGCATCCAAACCGGCAAAAACGCGCACTGAGTGCAAAACCCAGTCCTTTTTGGCTAGTGTGGTATACTAAAAAGTCCACTCCAGAAACCAAGTACACCAATGAATTCACCGAGATTTAAGCTCACTGTAGATATTGAAAGTCTAGAAGAAAAGCTCTGTCCGGCAAAAAAAGAGCTGCGTATGAAACAAAACCTTATTTTTGCTTCTACAGTTCAATGAAAAGACCTCTTTAGGTAAAAAGTAAAGCAGTGAAACAGTCGCGATTTAAGAGATAAAACTGCCACTATCAGCCTAATCAGAAAACGCATTGCTTCTGAAGGGTTGATAATGCACATAGATAACGGAAAAGTACCAGATAGCACATTACACAGCAAAAAGATTGAACAATAAATAGAGTTGAGTCGAATCGGTACGATGAGTAGAAAATGCATTGATAGGCTCGCGAAAACTACAAGGTCACGTTGCATTCACTAGTATCGAGGTGACGTTTTTCGTTCCTACGACGTCCAGTCATTGGAATCGATGTGGTGGGTTCTGCCGCATAAACCATAACATCTTGTTATCCATCTTCACAGTTTTTCTCCATTGTTCGAACTCAGTAGTTCTAGCATTCAGTCGTTTTTTCGTCTTCTTCTAGAAGGTCTCAGAACACCGATTGAGCGAGTGTGCTTGAAATCCCGAGGACAGCCTGATCGTGGCGTTACAAAGGACGTTCGTTGTTGACTGTCAGAGAGATGTGAGGGGAAGGTAGGGTGGGTTCGGCTCCACGCACGCAGCGACGAACATCACAACCATTCGGCTTTGCCGTTTTCCCATAAAACGATGTAATGAATAATAATAATAATGATAATAATAATAATAGTAATAATAATAATAATAATAATTAATAATAATAATAAATATAATAATACTACGATCATGGACATTAACCGCGCTGCAGTGAGAAACTGCAAAAATTCCAGGATTCGGTGTTATGTTTGATTTTGAAACAAATCCGAACGAAACTATCAAGAAAGTCATTTTTTCGTTGCAAATCATTCAGTTCATATTAGAAGGGTTGACTCAGGTTTATGTGCAAATACATATGTTTACTAATGTAAGAGTAAAGTAAAATTGGAGTGTGGGGACTGGAGCACCCACACAGGATTGGCAAAAGACGAGAAAGGGTAACTGCCTGACTGACGAGATCACAAGATCGAAACACTTATATCGGGCTCTATAAGTCAGCCCTCTTTGATAGACCAGTGACATGCGTGGCTCAAAAAATGATTATCAGGCATGTTGAAATTTGAGCTTTGGTCTTAGAAGAACACTCGAAAAGAAAGATATGATAAAATAAAATTGATTGTAAGTAGTTTAGTCTAATCAATTAATTAATTGCGAGTGAAAGAAAATTAACACCTGTAAATGAACTTTTTAATAATATTCATATGACAAGAAGTAGCTCATGACCGTAAGATACCTTTTCATTACATTTCTGACCCATCCTGAAGATTTTGAAGATATACTGTATCAATAAGATTTTTTAGTAATTTTTTCTGCAAATCAATAGATATCAGAAATTTCTACGTTTCCTACTCCTTGCAGATGACTGAGAGGACGGATGGCCAGCTGTAATCACACTTTATAATGCAAGCGGTTTTTTTTTATATCATAACTGTTGTTAATGCTGGTTTTTTGTTAATGTGTCGTTGCCCCTGATGATCGATATCATCGCTCTTGTTGTTGTTGATCATGCTACTGTTGTTGTTGTTGCAGTTGAACAAAATCTCTTGATAGTCCACCTTGAGAATTTCTTCTTCTCACAGAACGTACTCTGTAAAGGAATGAGCGACATCACAGCATTTGTTCTTGATGGCGATTTCAGTGGCCGTTTTTTGCTCGAAAGGAGAAATACTCGTACTATTCTCGCGTGTTTTCGCACACATAATTTGCTTTAAGCAAGTATTAGCCCACGAGATATTCGAAACGCCTAGACCAGACGAAATTCACACAGTATGTAAATCACGATATTTGGTCTCAGTGGCTCCCATTGTGAGCGAATAAAGAAAAACTCAAAATATTTTAGTTAAAACAATCATAACGATTAGTAATATCTTGTATAGAAGCGACAGTGTCACTGGAATCGCTACGGAGACCGAACATCGTGATAGAAAAGCTGGACTGACCTTTGTCGCGGTAACGACGTATTAAATCTACTAAGGGTCAATATATACATGAAGAAAGACATTTGATTGAAGGCAATCAAAAGTAGTATGAATACTCCATTTTCGAAATACAAATTGCCACTGGAATGCCACTGAAACCGAATATCGTCAGAGAAATGTTACCTAGGGTTGGAGAAAAACTTTTGAGAAATTTCTGAATACTTCGTTCTTATGCGCAAATTAACATCGTAAAACAACAATAATTAAGAGAATTGAGTGGTGAGCAAAAATACGGCATCGGCCAGGAATCGAACCCGTGTTTCATCCTATCCGAGGAAGAGTGTTTCACCATCACACCACCGAGGCACATTTGCGCGTGCCACTTATTCTTCAACATCTCTATGTTAGTTGTCAGCCACCAACTTTTAGAAAATTTGCTCGGGTATGCAACTTTGCTTTATGAACCCAGTTGAGCTGACAGCCATCTTGATAAGTAAAAATCCGATTTTCTATTGTTTTCACTGCCTTTTTCACAGTATTATGATGTTTCACGCATTCCAAAGAGAACTGAGTAGTGAGCAAAAACGCGGCCACAGGCGGGTTTCGAACCCGCGTTTCATCCTATCCAGGGGACATGTCTCTGCCAATAATTATCAGTATCCCAATTACCAACAGCAATAACTATGCTTCAAAGTATAGTCTACCATTTTCCACAACTTTCTGCCATTCATCCTCTTCTTCTTGTGGGTGAAGTAAAACTGGTATAACTTGTTGACAACGCTCCGCTGCGAAACGCTAAGCCCTTCAGTCAAGTTGCGAGTGCTCGATGAAGGGTAAGCATCCAGAGAGGCTTGCAAGTCACTTCCTCCAGTACAGTTAACCAGCCAAAACAATGCACGGCTTGGCTATCAAAAGTGCCATCTTTGAAACCATCTGCAAACAGTCGATTTTGTCGCCGTGCCAACAACTTCACCTTGCTTAATCCATCTAAGGATTTAAGAATCGTTAAACCTATTCTCCATTAATGTCAGATCAGTACTTGCAAATCCATCTGCTCGATGAGCATTCTAACGCTAAAAATAATGAGCTAGATAAATATATACAAAAAATTCAATAAATAACGGCAAAATGTCAAATGGAATTTACAACTATTTCTTAGAATTTTATGTTCAACCTAACGGAATGTCTTCTACACAGGTCATGACGCAGTGAATCATTCATGAGCAATTTATTCATATTTCAAATATCTGAGTGAACACAAGCAAAAACTGTACTGGTATTTGCTTACGGAGGAAGGTATTACTGGAATCGTTAGCAAGATCGAATATCGTGATACAGTTTGAAATCCGAGGTGGAGACATCGCTATTGTGGAAGGGCTAATATGTGAGTAAAGCTAAATGTCTCACGAAGAACAAATAGAACGAATGCGAGCAGCAAGCTATAAAAAATCACGATATTCAGTCTTGGTGGCAAATGTAGCAATTTCTTCTGATACTCTTCAGTTAACCGCCCTCTGTTTTCATTCCCTTACGAATCTTGGCCTCTCGAGGCAGCTGTTGAAATCGCTGCTCCCAGCGCGATTCGAGAGACGCACGATCCTCGGTTTTATTTTGTAAATTTTTTCCGTTATTGATAGAAAAAGAAAGCTTTTAACGTCCTGATATACCACGATTTCCTCTACACGTTCGTATGCTTTGGAGCGCAAATCGCCCAGTGCGAAACGTATAATAGGGTTTTCTATATGTAGTAGTACCGAGTAGTATTGATGGACAATTTTCTCCATTGCCTTTCTGGAAGCTGTAAGTGTCACGGGGGGCATCGAAGTGCAATCATCTTGATCGTATAACTGGTCAAGCCTCGCTGGGCTTTGCGAATGCTCTTCCCAGCTTCTGCAGCTTCTGCCATACCTGCAACCCGTCTCGCTTTGAGGTCTTCTTTTATCGCTTCTCTGCAGCGTTTAGTCAGATCGGACGTAAGGTTTCGGTTTCCTGCAGCTCGTGCGATTCCACGTTGACGTATCAGCTCGAGTATCTGCGGAGACAAGCGTCTCATCGTGACTTTGAAACTTTCAGCTTCTTAGAGGCAACGTGAAGATATTTTACATGCCGGTGATATTCTTCGTCGATGTTGTCGACAATGGTATCTACCAAGAGCCGACTAATGATTTGAGTACATTCTAGATGATGATAGTTCTGGGACTTTGTTATTTGTTTGATTTTAGCGGCTTTCTCTCCTTTCCGCGAAAAACGCAACGTTGCGCAGAGGAGGCGATGATCACTCAGATAGCCTCTCACCCTGTTCATTCCATTCTACTCCGTGGGTCCCATTATGACCCGTGGGTCCCAATATGACGTTCCTCAGGAGTCCTTCTAGTCCCAATTTTCGCATCAAGACCTCCAACAATGACCTTGAAGAAGGTATAGTCTTCTCTGAAGACTTTTTTGAGGTCCATTCAAAACGCTTCGACTTCCTCTTCGTCATAGCTTGGTGTTGGTGAGTAAGCAACGAAGATGGTCAAAGCCGGCAATCAAGCACATCGTTTCAACCGTAATCGTCCTACACGGGTTGTCGGCTGTTCAAATGAATCGATGTTCACGGTCAAATTCGATTTTAACGGGACACCTCTGCTATCTCGTGTTACAAGAAACATTTCTTCTTCGGTGCCATAAAAAGGGTGAAAAGGATGGCGTTTTCTCGTTTCAGCCAGGCCAATGACGTCGTACCCTATCCTTCTTGCTTGAATCAATAGATCTTCTACAGCGGATTCGTGAGCAAGTGTTCGTGCATTATAGGTACAGACCGTCATTTTAGTCCGTTTCCATTTGGGCCGCCTAGTTCGGCTCTGAGATTTTAGCAGCCTCTCCGACTCGTCCTACAAAGTACTGTCGCACGGGCTCTTTCCGCCGACTTGACATCTTTATTTTTACGTGTCAAGTAGGCTAAAAAACTTGCAATCAAGCGGCTGGGAAGTACATGGGAGGCGGTTAAGAGTCGCCTCCAACAAATAAGCTCCTCCCGCTCCTCCGAGTGAGGGGTCAGACGAATGTGGCTCATAGTTATTGCCGTTGTTAGCATTTTGATACCCAGCGTACAGCTTACTAGGTCTAAGCGTGAGGCTGGGTACTCACGAGTGGCTTGTCAGTCTCTCTCGGAGGAGCGGGAGGAGCTTATTTGTTGGAGGCGACTCTTAACCGCCTCCCATGTACTTCCCAGCCGCTTGATTGCAGGTTTTTAGCCGACTTGACTCGTAAAAATAAAGATGTCAAGTCGGCCCTGCAGAAGCAGGGAGCTTAGTCCCTGATTTAACCTGCGCCTCTGGGAAGCACACGGTCGCTTTTGTTCGCGTTTATTCCTCTATCCACCACCTGGGGATGCGCCACGTGCCCTCGCGACTAACCGGGCAGGATCCCTCAAAGCGAGATCCGTGGATAACAGTGATACTACAATTTTTAATGATATTACAATTTCTAATTATTACAATTTCAAATTAATGATGTATTCTGAAAGGCCTTTATTCGAACAGATTAGAAAAATCCAAATGATTATCTATCGGCACTAGTCGATCGCAGAATAAATCACATCTAAGAAATTAGCGGACTTCTTGAAAGTCAGAACAAAAATACTGCCTTTCTATTGACTAAATGCCATACCTTGTATGAAAAATTGCTCGACAAGGCGACACCAAATACTCACAACTGTTCACTGCCGTAATGAATAAATAATGAAATCAGTCGACTGAAACGAAAGGAACATACGCTTTGATAGCGAGATTTTGCTGAACTTGCTTTGGAAATAACGTCGTCAAATTTTCGAAGGGTACCAGTGCAGATACGGCGTTAAATGAGCTCATACATACGGCGCTGAATGAGCTCAACGAAATGGAAAAAAAGTTGACGATCTCTTGAAAGAGCCAACGACCAGCTAGAAGATCAAAATTTTGAGCTCATCTTTCCACTCAGTAATCCTTTCCGAGATCTGATATTTTATATTATGTTTTATATTTTATATTACTTTATATATTATATTTTTATATTATATATATTGATGATACCACGTCGAGAGCTCATCGCACCACCCACAGAATGACGTTGCCTGAGATTTGATCGCCATTCATAGCGTTTGTTTGAAATGCGCAGTTCAGGCCTTCAAACACTTGTGTTATCCTTTGAAGCAAGGATGACTTGAACCATTGGCGAAATTCGGATGGTTCGACCATTCAGTAAGAAGAAAATGTCAGGACGAAAAGAACAGTGGAGTGCACTCCAACGATGAAAGTGCAGTGTTGGACGACCGCCCAAAGAATATGTGGGCGTGTTGGTGGCTAACACCAACCATTTGCATTCGTAAATGGGAGCTACTTCGATACTAAAGAATGGACCTTGTTATCATCACTACTTCAAACTATGAAGACTGCACGAGCAACGAGTAGAAATTACTCTTTGATCTGCATTACCGGTGAAAAAGAATTATCAATGTATTCAGATATGATCAATCACGGCCCCTGTACAGAGTGTAAGAATATTAAAAATATTTAGAGCATCGACAATACATATATCATACCTTAACGGCCATTAAGCTCTCCAAGTAAATGCAATGAAGTGAGAAGACATCTATGACCAAAAATAGCTGATGCAGAGAAACAAGAACCTCATTTTAATTTCACCAATTCACTTGATATTCATGGTGATCTGATCATTATGACCTCCCCATACATACGGACTTGACGAGTTACGATCATCATCGGTATCATCATCAACTTCTTTTAAACAAATACTACGCACGCAAGAGACAATAACGGCCTCAAAAAATTTTGATTGCCGTCATAATCGGGTAACACTTCTGGTGCTTTCCTGTCATTTTCGTCCTCATTTTCATGAATACTAATCGACTTTGCACGTTTGACAGTTCTATTGAGTAAGCTGTGTTCGTGCCGACAACTAAAAAGGGTCACTAGGGTGTGATGTCATAATCAAGAAATCATAAAAATTAACTCAACGCTAACAGTTGGCAAAAGACTACTTCTTGAATTGAGTAATTTGAAATATACCCAGTAATGTAGAAAGATGTGCAGAATCCTTGCGTCAGCTGGAGCGCGAGCATACATTTTTACCCTTTTCGGGGCGCGTCCTCGAAAATTTCGCACCGTAAATAAAAAGAATTTTGTTTGACCTTCTAACACCCAGTATCTGCAGACGTGACTATATTCAATGTCAATAGCGACTGCCCGTCCCATATCGTTAACGGCTTGTTACATACACACAGATGCGTTGTAGCATGTAAAGAGTGGTGTCAAATCAGGTTTCAGCAGCCCAATGGTTCGAGCAGGCGTCCTCGGATAGGATGAAATGTGAGTTCGAGCCGCATC